TAATCAAGAAAATGCAGGTTTTCAGATACAAACTAGACAGGTGTATACTGAACAGACAGCAAACTAAAGTCTACAATCACTGCTCTACATTGTTGAAGCCAATGTAATCTTAGATTTTGAAACAATACAGAGCTACTGGGAAAAATTAGTGATAATTTCACAGTAAATTCACAAATTTTAACGAGAACGAATCACTGTAGGATTTCTGTTTTCTTAAGAGAACGAACCTGAAGATACATCTAAATTACCAAGCACCTGCCCTATCATCCTGGCTCAGTTACAAATAAGGGAATCCACTGAGCTAAAGGAAAATCACCACACTCTAGAATATAAGACAAGTGTGTAAATCACAGAATTACGCTAATATTTCTGGCTATCTGGCCAAACTAGAGGCAATGTCTAAATCTACATGGCTTGGCAAAATTACATTCTCCCTTCATGAAATTGCTGGATTGAAGCTAAGAGCTATCTTTGAGATGTGAATCTAAAATCAGCACTGAAGTATGTCCTAACTGAACTCATCACAATTATACCAATCTGGAGAAATGATCAAATTGATTAGTGACAACTAACTGGGCATTTTTTTTAATGAAAAAGGATGAATTACTTTTGAACTACTGCTAAAAAAAAATCTCATTTTTTTAATAGCCAAGGCTATATATTACAAGGTCATCAATAATTATTTGGTAGAGTAGATGATTTAGAAAGTAACCCTGAGGTAGAAAGGAGAATCCAAAATATATATATATATATATATCAAAGCAAGTATTGGGCAGAAGTCACATATAAGAGGCAAGAACCCCCAACAGAGAGACTGGCCAACTGTCCGTCCACACTTGCTCCATCCTGGAAATCTCTAGCATATTCTATCTCATAGTCTGAGTGAAAAGTTTTACATGACACACTACAGACTGACCAAAAAAACTTACTCTGAAGAGAAGGTGTGGCATAGGGTGCTATACCACTTAGATTGCCTTTCCTTACTAAGCAGGCTAGCATAAAGGGTTTTCAGTCTGGAAGCAAGGGTCTGAATGACAAAACAAATGAAAAACATCTTGGTTATTATAGATACTATGGATCTTTCATGAAATAAATTGTTCTCTATAGCACAATGTTCTACCCCTTTAAAAACACTGTTAATCATCCTGAATGACAGTCAAAAGTATATTATGTAGACTACTGCACTCTTAAAAAAAAACTCTCCCAAACATGTTTTAAGCTAATTGATGAACATTCATCATTACTATGCTTTCAGGTCTGGCCCTGCACTGAATAGCCCCAGACATGCTAGTCAGGCTTTGAACATTTGTTTTTGTGTCTTGTAGATTATCTCTATTATCCTCACCAGGCTGTTATCTGTTTTTTCTTAAGACAGACAGCAGGCTAACAGTTCCCCATCCTCCTACCTACTCCCAATACCCTCCTTAAACCTCCCACATTATCCATAATCTACTTGTTTATCATCTACTGTGGGTTTAGAAGCCACATAACTTTACTTGTTAGAAATATTTTAAATAAATGTCAACAGGTTCTGAAGAAGGGTCTCAAAGGCTCTCCTATACTTTAAGGTATGGACTTGAACAATTTGGCTACCCCAGGCCTTTGCTGCTTACAGTCTGCTTCTCAAATGCATTTTATAGTAGGTCAAGGATAACACTGCAGGCAAATCATAGGGATTAGAAAGAGTCCAAATAACCGAAACCCACAAGTGGAAGAGAGCAAGAGAGGAGATATTTGGGAGGACCCTTATGTCTCAGGCAATGTTCCAGGTACTTTAATCATGATCACTCAATCCTTACAGTCAGAAAACCAAACTCAGGAGTTAATTAACTTGCCCAAAATGATAACTGAGAAACCAAGTATTAGCCTAGGGCTGTCCGACTCCAAAATCCAAGGCCTTTCCACTAGGAGAGACTGGTGCCCAATCCTTATTTTTGGTTTAACTAATTGTTTTTACATTTTATTCCTGATCGTTTCACTGGAACCTAACTGATTCAAGTTTGCTATCTTTCCTTAACCAGATTCTGTAACTAAAGGGCAATGGATAATCAAAGTAAAGCCACGTTAAGTGATGTATATTTTTCAGCAACAAACATCAAACGTGTTTCTGAAAGACTGACCATTTCTTCATTTTGTACAAACTGTACAAAAATGGTGACAGGCCCTCCTGCCCACTCTCAAAATACACTGATTGTTCCCAGTTACACTCTGAGTTAACATTTCACATCTTCCCTAGTGCTGTCCTCTACAGTTGATAGAAAGCAATGCAAGCACACTTTAGGAACCGGCTCAAGTAACGAATTTACTGCATGCTCCCTCAATTTGTACATTAACATCATTTGCTTACTCTAAACATTGGGGAATGCGGCAGAGGACATGAGCAGTTTCCACTTTTCTAATTCCATTAAGGAACACAGGGGTGTACTTATTTGCTGTTACATACTTTATTGCCTAGTCCAGGGCCTGACACACAGAAAAAGCTTTTTGAACAAATGCTGCCTGTTCAATAAATACACATTATTGCTGATTAAATGCATAACCTCTCCTGAACTGGTTTTCAGTTCTCTATATTTCACATTTTCTGACATATCCTAGTAATGCTCAGAGTGGAAAACATCTTTCCTCTTACAGAAACTAAGAACCTAAAAATGGCTCTTCTATTCCCATTAAAAGTCAAGGGATCTAAAAGACATGCCCCTCTCCACCCTCGAAAAATGACTCGTCCCAAGAATATGAATAAACCTCCATCTCCACTAAATACAGCTTTTATATGCATTACAAAAACACATGTATATAATAAAACCACTTCAAACTGAGGCTTATGGAGTCCTAAACCACAAAACTAAACAAGGATATGGAAAGCTTTTAGACCTAAAAGTCAAAACTGACACTATTCACAGAATGAAAAATTCAACAGATATCTGACCAGCAGTTTATGCTGCTAAATTGAGTGTTTTTACCCCACTCAGATTTTCCCACAATGTGAAGTAAAAAGATTATAGCAAAATGATTCTAATACTTATAATATAAAAATGAAAAAGGTACGACCTCTTGCCATCTTGAAGTAGAAACAACCTTTGTTCCTATTAGAGAGAACTTATGAAATACACAAAACCATCCCCAATATTCCTACTTAAAAGTTAAAACACATACCAAGCCATGACAAGCCACAAACAAGAAATTACCCTGCACAGTTTCTTACAAGACGATTTCAGGGACCTTATAGATTGTGTAAAGAATTGACCACTTACAACCAGGTACTGATAGGTCACAACCTTGAAAAACCAAACTATTGTTGAACATCTACAATTTAAAATCACTTTAGAAGGTTTAGCTACAAAATACAAAAACCAAGCTCTTTCTAAGAGCAATTTCTTACTAACAAAAAGCCCAGAAAGGAATGCTTCCAATCATACGATGTTAATTAAACCTGGTCAACGAACTTCTTTAAACTCAATTTAATCCAACAGATTTTAACATTAAGAGTATAAGGAAGCGCTCCCTTTAGAAATGCCCAAAGATGCAAATTATTTATATTTACTACCACAGCTAAGTTTATGGCAAAAACTAAGGAACTTTAAAAATAAAATCAGTGTTGCTTTCTGAATGTAATATATACGCTTGCTAAATAACCATTTTGTGGAGGAAATTCTTTAAATATCCTGCACAGGTTTTTTTTTAAGGCAAATGAAAAAAACCCTCAAACTGATACATTTATGATATCCATTTTTACATTATTTCTCCCATTTCTGTGTTACCTTTGCTTCAATAACTCATCCGTTATTCAAACCTCATTTAACTATTTGACGTAGACCTCTCTATAAGAGGGAAACTTTTTTAAAGAGGGTCAAAAGTAGAATAATTGCAAATACATTTTTAGCATAATAGAGCAAATTAATTCTTATTAGGCTCAAGATAAACACCCTTTCTATCAGTGGTACAGGTTCAATTCAAAAGAAATCAGGAGAAAAAAATGAAAAGGAATTTTGGAAATTAATTCGCATTTCAGGAGCCATTTTTGAGAAGACGTAATTACTCCAAATAAGTTTGTCTGATCTTTTTTTCTGTATCTACTGTATTAACAATTATTTTACTTATGTCGTTTTAAAAGTTTAACACACCAAAATTTAGGATATTCCAAATTGTAACGAATAAGACATGACTGATGGAAAGTGCTACTTTCAAATTCGTCTCACCTAGAGATTTTTGTTCTAAATAAAGGTTTGATTCACAACAAACTGGTAGTATTTAGCATTTAAAGGATCGAGAAGAAGGAATAACAAAAGCAACTTAGGTTGCTTTGCTTTGGTTAAGTATCAAAAGGAAACCATAATAACGTAAGGTTAAGTAAGTAAAAGACAAAAACAGTACCAATCCCAAGGACAGTATCCCCCACAAGAGAAAAAAATAATTAAAGCTGCAATTTTGAAAACCAAGTTTGAAATACATAAAATCAATTAGCGTGCTTTCTAAAGCCGTGTGATGAAAAGTAATGGGCTCCATTCACAGAACTTTCACAAGTGAGCAAAGGATGATCTCGACAGCACGAGCCCTGTGCGTGTGTGCGCGCGAGTACACACAAGCAATTCAGAACCCGAGCCTACCACGGTTAACAAAGATTACAAGACAAAAAAAAAAGGGGGAAAGGTGGAAGCAAAGTATCACACGCTCCTAACACGGCTTCCCAACAACTCCTGAAACAAGAGCTCTAGTCTTTCGGCTTTAAAAATCAGAATCACAAACTATGGAGAGTGTCGGCCGCGGGAGGGAAGGGACGCGGGCGGCCCCCGCCCGGAGCCGGGCTGGCGGGGAGCTCCGAGATGCAGAACCCCTACCCTCCCGGCCCCCCGATCCCGCACGCCCGAGCAGGCACACCCACGTCCCCCGACCTCGCCACACCCCAACCCCCACCGTGGCCATGTGACAACGGCCCAGCGCCCCGGCCGCGGCCAAACACAAACACACCCCCAGCCCGAGGCTCACGGGCGCCCAGGCTTTACCTGCACGGAAGCACCAGGTCCCGCCCCGTCAGATGCGGGGGGTCCGGGACCTTTTGTTCCTTCCTCTTCCGATGGGATGGAGGGGGCTGGGAGGGGAAGAGGGAATGGGCGATTGTAGGCGGAACTGAAAATACTCCCAGCCGCCGTCTTCCCGCCCCGCCCCCCAGGCCCGTGCGCCGGCCGCAGGGGGAGGGTGGGGGCCGGACCGCCGCCCGCGGGGAAGAGGGGGTGGGGACGCGCGCGCCCGGC